ATGTTGAAATGCAGTATATTTTGGATTGATCAATGACATACTGTGCCTAGATCGCCCTGAAGCAGATGGTCAATATTCACCCGATTCCTGTGCATGAACTTAATAGCTTCGGCAAACAGTAGGAAACTTGAAACGATTGCTTTAGCTAGGTAATTAATATATACCCAAAACAGTTTTGGCACTAGAACTGAGCCTTGCGACACACCGCACTCGACTTGTATGGAATCAGATAAGAAGCACGGAAGACTGGCCAATAATTGTCAGTGAAATAGAAAGTTAGCGATCTAGTTTAAGAGAAAGTCACCGATCCGATAATACTGGGGTTTGGAAAGAAGTATCCGATGATCTAGTGCCTTGGAAAAATCCAGGTGGATCACGTCAAGGTCCTCCCCAGCGACTGCTGACTCGTTCCAACTACACAGTACGATTAGGAAATTGGTTGTGCACGATCGTTGTCGACGGAAATCTAGCTGATTGGGAACAATGATTTCGCTATTTTCCCGATAGCACACCAACACATCTTCAACGATCCATTTCATTGCCTTAGACAGTACAGAGAGAAAAGAAACTGAGCGGTAGTTTGTAAACTTATTTTACTGCTTCCACCTAACAGATGTAGTCGTCCGCACCAGTTTAGCTTTATTTGCTCCCTTCATCATATCATAACCAAATGTAGACGACTATCATCCAACAGCTTATTTCCAATATCGACACTTCATTATGCGGCCACTTCGGGACCAATATGTACTAGTCCCACACATTTGTGACCCAGCTACGTACGCGTAACTTTAGAACATCGCGTTCCTGCAAATTTTGAAATATCCGATCCTTTTCCTGGCTTTCTCAGTATGTTTATCAGCTGTCTGTGCCATTTTCCAGCTCAGCTTGATTTGCACATCTTTATAACCTCCGTCAAGCTCAATTCAGGCCATAGTTGAACAGTCCCATGTAAATAGCTCGAATGTGGCTGTGACCATCTGACGGAACAGAATCCGAAAAATTGGTTCGCTATGTTCGAGATTGGGTGAGAATACCAATGGAGACATAATCAAATTGTCCTACGCTCTCCGGTGCCCGCTGTCACGCGCGTTAAAGAGATTGTACAAAAAGGAGGCATGAAATAAAGCTAGCAAGTTCAAAGGAAACACAGCTCGGCGCACGGACTCGGTCGAACAAGTCAGCGGCATCAGTATGAATGATTGCAAACCTTACAAGTTGCTCCGAGAAGTTCAGCACGGTGCAGGCAGAGATTATGTGGTAACGTGCCCATGGCTTGAGCACTCCCCAGAGCCGTTGTTAATAATGCTGCTGTTTCCAAACAGGCCACTAAAGGAACCAGCTGCTGCGTTCAAATAATTGTTGCGGAGTACAAACAGAGACTCCAGTGGCACATTCATCGCAAAGTCGGATAGGTGTCACACCAACTCAAAAAACACTGTGGCCAATCCGTCGAGAAGAGGAGATCGCGTAATATCGCCGTGGGTTGACCACAATGAAGGCCGAGAGGCTGAATGCAACAAGGTCGGAGGTTGGGTGCCATTTGTCGCAGCCACTGACAGGCTACACCCGGAGAGACATGTTACCATATTGCTTCTTCGATTCACTCTCAATCGAAAACCATTACACCATAGTGAAGTATGTTGGTATCATGGTTCATATGGTCGGACATTGGCGCTTCCCCTTCGTCCGGACCGGCTCAGTCATTCGGCGGTAACAGAGTAGCCGGCATGGGGCAGCAGTCGGCGCGACCGACGGAAACAAAACAAGAACAAGTGTTCGTGTACCACCTTCCCGATCCACATGAGAGCAGGAGTGGATAGCATTCCAGTCGACGCAAGTGACAAGTACTTGCGGACATCTCACCGATTGTCTCGAATGTACAGCATGTGAGACTGAGACTGTATTTAAGAGCAAGTACAAAGATTTCTGTACAACTCTATCGAACTATGAAAAATCAAAAACATTCAATTGCGAATCGTCAGCAGTAGTGTTTGGTCAGTTACTCGTTTATTCCTTTTCGGTTAGGAATTCGTGTTGGTGCCATTATTTTCGGGTCTATGATGTATTTTTTGCATTGTATGTGTACCGTTTCACAAAAGCACAGGTTTCCGAAATAATCGTCCATACGTGTTTTGAAACACTTCACATAATTGGCCTCAATTAATCCTTCTGGTTAGCCGAACAACCTCCTCGTTGTGTCAGCTGGGTGGTTCGGGTTTAACCCGTTCCAGCAAATAGTTCGGCGGCAGTGTTCCAGGACGTGGTGGGTTTCGCCTGGCAAGCGTTCTCCCTATAAAAAGCCACAAATGTCTGCTTAACAACACTGTGACGTGGCGGTCGTGACTCGCCACAAAATAAAGTCACTGCCTCGTGGATATCCGGATAATTCTATCCAACCTACGGACACCAATCTCCTACTCGCATACTGATGACGATGTCAAACATTGAAGATTGGAGCAGCACAAAATACACAGCTACATACACACACAATGACATACATACATACCCCTTACACAAACACAAACCGCTATGGCAAACATGTCGGATTTTTGCACATTCTTGATCATACATCGTTGTCAAAATGATCATGCCTGTAAAGGCTTGCCTCACCTTGTTGAGAATAAAAGATTTATTTATTTATTTTTCGTTCTATACAAAGCTGATGCAGGGGACCCTGAGTTTGTAATGGTGTTCTCATGTGTTCCCGCAGGTGAAATATTGGCCACAGTATGGGGAAGTGATTCAAGTGTAGTACTCGAAAGGTCATGATAAGGTCAATTCTTACTCGGCGGTAGGATAGTGTGTAGAGTCCGAGCCTTTCACGTTGTTCGTACGGAAGCTTTCGTAGATTGGATATCATTCTAGTTGCGATATGCTGTATTTTCTCCAGCTTTTCAGTTTCCCACTGAGTTATCGGATGGTAAGCTATGGTGCCGTGTTCAAGTATTGGTCTAACGAGCAAGGTGAATAGGCGAGAGACGGTTTCTTCCGACCATGTGGAGAAACTGGGTCGTACTGCCCGGAGCATACGAAGTCCCGCGCGGTACTATTTCTCTGTATTTGCTAGTGATCTCATATTATGTCGCGAGAGCCCTCCTAAGTCTCTGACAGATGTGTTATAGTGGAGCAAGTGGCCGTCTAAAGTGTACGATTGAGTGGCTACACGTCTGGTGATACTGATGAACTTCGAGTTGTTTGCCTTAAGAGGTAGTTGCATTTCAGTGGACCACTTTGACAGTCGATCTAAGTCATGCTGGAGGCGAGCGCAGTTGTCCTGATTCTCAATGATCTTCCAGATTTTCAAATCATCTGCAAACAGGGCACATGGTGACTGGAGCTGCTGCGGGAGATGGTTGATATGAATAAGAAATAATACTGGCCCAAGTACAGTTCCTTGAGGCACGCCACTGGTCGTTGGGAACCAGTCTGCCAGGTAGTCCCACAATAAACTCGTGTAACCAATGACGTAGCGTACCACCGATTCCGTAGATTCTCAGTTTACGAAGAAGTACCTAGTGGTTCACTCTGTCAAAGGTCTTACTAAAGTCGATGTACACCACGTCAACATCCTTCCGTTCGTTGAGAGCTCGTACCCACTGGTGGTTTGCGTACATCAAGTTGGTGATGCAGGATCGCCCTTTCGTAAGGCCGTGTTGCGCTGGTGTCAATACGTCCGTCGATTCGAAGAAAGACAGTAGACACTTTTTCACAACCTTCTCGAGAACTTTGGACAATAGCGAAGTCAAACAGATCGGTCTATAGTTCTTTACTTTATTCGGATCACCACCCTTGAGAAGCGGTCTCACTATCGAGCATTTCCAGTCGTTAGGGACAGATCCCTCAGAGATTTATTGAAGTTTTATCACGGCTGGTGAGATGACATTAGATAGGGACTTGAGTATTAGTGGTTGAAGTCCGTTTGGTCGGGAGGTTTTGCACCATCGCGGGTGACGAGTAGCTGATACACTTCCATTGCATCACATTGTAAGCTGTCGAGCAAAACTGGCGAAACCTGAGCCGGTATTGAGACAACCCACTTTACTAGAAAATACGGTGAGAAACTGCGTAGCCAAGGCATCGGCGTGCTCCGCGCTTAAAATGAGCGTCTGTCCGTCCAAGCTCCCTAAGACCGGTAGGTCGCCCCCAGGTTTGTTGACGTTCCAAGTACGCAAATATTCTTTTGGGAGCGGTTGTGACCGAGGATACTAGCTCCTCTTCGAACTGCCGGCGTTTCTTGATCCTTGCTGCGTTACATAAGTTACGCTGTTTCTTGTTCACCGTGTAATCATCACAACCCGGGTTGATGTATCGATCCCAGCTTGCGACGCCGTCGCGCTAACTGTCTAGATTCCGTAGCATACCAATGCAGTTTGACAGGTCCGACTCTTGAATACTTCAGGGGAACGAACGGAGTACGCAGTAAGTTAAGCTCCCCTTCTTTAATGACCAACGGGCCTCAAGCGACGCATCCTGTGGTAGTGTCCAATCAGTCTGACTTGTGGCTTGGACGATCACGTTGAAGTCCGTCTTCCAATGGTTGAATGTCGGCTTCCGTTGGTTGTAATACGATAACGGCAGTTCTACACTTGCCACAATGGAGCAGTGGTTACTGTTCGCTAGAGGTTCGAGGACTCTGCTCACTTTCAACTTCTGCTCGCATCTCGTAAATATTAGGTCTACACAGGATGCCGAGTGCGGAGTAAGGCGCGTCGGTTGGATGACATGTTGCGTTGCCCCGATTTCAATAGTCATTTTAGCGAATTGAGCCTCAACGTCGTCATGACCGGGAAGAAGCCGAACGTCTGGCCAGATCTTAGGTAAATTTAGACCACCCTTCAGTAAGAAATGAGGGCGGCTCATGTGTTTCTGTATATGTGGTAGCCAATCGCAACAACGGTTTAATAGGTTACGATAGATAACACCCACAGTGGGTGTTCGCGGTTGCCCTTGCATCGTTTTTAACTAGAACCTGTGGTGAATGAGAAGACCGACACAAGGAACGAGGATATGACAAGTTGCCCCAACTATGTGTGTCCCAAGAAAGCCGATGCGCAAATCTCAAGCGTCTAAGAGACAACAGGGAATAAGCTGCTTAAGTAGAACCCAGCCAAAGCGAAATGAGGGGAAACAAGGTGAATGTGGATGGGAGAAATCAAAGTATATGTCAAATGAGAGGGGAAATAGAAGGAAAATAATCACAAAATGAAGAGGGAAGTGTCACAAAGGATATAATGGAACATAATGCAATAGGAGCTGAGTAAGTGCACGCATTCTCGTACATTCTCTTAGGTAAGGTAGAAGAGCGCCAACAGAAATCACATGTACACTAATAATCTTGGCGAAGAGGTAGATAAGACAAAAACAAGTTGCTAATAAGAAACAATTTTCTAAGTTTGCTGATTTCACGATTTGCGTTCCGGGCATCGGGTGTGTACGATCTGTGGGCGCGGGCGTAAAGGTGTGGACTCGCACGGTGTGATCACAATGCTAGGACGACTGTGTTCCTTGTCGCTGGGATGCAACTCAAAAGCTTCACCTGGGAAAAGAGTACAAAATGTGCGAAACGTGTGTCCGTAGAGCGACGATAGAGCTGGTTGCCGAATTTGGTGGTGTGAAAAAGACTACATTGGTAATGTTGAAAACTAAGGTACTTTAGAAGCTAGAGGGGACCCACGAGGTTGTCAACGCAGTTCGTTCATGTAGCAGTGAAATCTGATGCCCGTGACAAGCAGAAAAGCTTAAAAGCAAGTCCACATATGGGAGGGGGGCTTTTAGTTACACTGAACGGGGGCAGAGAGTGAACAAGATTCTGCAACTTGAGAACAATAAATTCGCTCACGATTACGTTCATTTGAATGCTAGCAAACGCTTGCCGTAGATGTAAATTGCATGTAGAAATTCAACGATTCTGAGCTCGTTCCTTAGGAGGTGACAATACGCAAGTCAAGTGGGTTGGCCAATTGATCTACCGATGTGTCTGACCTGCTTCCGGTATGAGCACATATGGATGAACAGCCACATAGGCGTCTTGGAATTTGATGACGGTTAAAAACTGCGTAATTGCGTCCAAGACGCTGTGCGAGATACACCAGAGTCCTGAAAACTGAGCCGCATTTGGAGAAGTTAATGGAGTCTAAGGTTCTCAAATAATGAGATGCTTGACATTAAATAGCATTTCTAAAACTCAACGTCGCTCGAAAGTGAGAACCGACGAAACAAACGATAAGTGTTATTATAACTGCTATGCTTGTCAGATCAATCCAATTCATCTGGATCGTGTGAACGCAGAGTTTGAGTAAATGATTGAGCACATGAGCAAAACTAGATAAAAGAGGCGGAAAACCCCAAACTAGTTAGCAGCCTTGGTAATTATAGAAAGGTAAATTGGGACGAGCGCAAGTGGTAACCTGTCCAGTGCTACTTGGCACGATTGTCGTCGGAATAATCCGTGTTAAAATATCGAACACTTGGAAGAAATTCTACATCTTCTAAGCAGTGACCAGTGGATGTATTTTACAAGACTTCATCAATAGTGAAAGTAAGGAGGAAGTGACAGAGGAGGAGTAGATTGCGTGGTCTCGACTAAGGCGATACTGTGGGAACGAGCACTTCCATAACAACGTTATGCGCTGTTGGTTCGTCTGGTCGTCCCGGATAGAGTCCACGCGGCCAACGTTGTGTCTGACTTAGGACGGCAGAACATAGCTCGTAAAAAGCACCAGTGGGTCCTTTGTAATCGTCACCTAGCCGCTCTAACTGCCTAAAGTAAGCGAAGAGTTGTGACAGGGGCAAATTAAAGCAGTTAGAAGACTGGGTCGTCATCCAGATGAGAAACAGCTGTTTGTAACCGGACAATGATGACAAAAGCAGCAGAACTTGCGGTAGGGTTCCTTCACGTCATGTTTTTAATTCTCGTCAATGCTATAAGAACGGCTGTATGGCAGCGAGACATTGTGGTAAAGTGTCATGGCCCTTAAGGTCTCGCCGTGTCGCTCGGATTGGTTGTTTTGAACCCGGCCGCTCCGTACTGCTAATACACAAGGAAAGGCTTCGGTTACCAGTTTGATAACAGTAAATTACAGGAAAACAAAATGGAGCAGATTAATGAGATTTACGTGATCTCAGTGACCTCCAAGAAGGTTTTCCATCCTGTTACATTTCTTTCTTGCCAATAATGGCATCCGATTGTTCAAAAATGTTCCGCTGAGCAGACAATTAGATTACTACAATGGATCTCAGGAGAAAAGACTGGCTTTTGGTAGATACAAGGTCTACTGATCGAAATCTTAGGAGGCGCTCTACCTACCACATTGATGACAGAGAGGACGAGAAGAGATAGCATCGACTAAAAAGTGAGACCATAACCTAGTAAGTGAGTTGTAGGGATTGAGTTAGAACTCACCCGGGGCTAAAGCGGCCAGAGCTTCGAGCAACTCGTAGTTAATCACAGGCTCCGCCTCAGGTTTGGGTTCCCAACCAACCGGAGGAGACGAGGGTGGTGAGAGTAAAAACAATCTCGATGGCAGCGGAGGGGCCAAAAGTTTTGAGTTGGGAACAAACCCTCGGGTTGCATGCTTGCGGCAACTAAATTTGGGAGATGAGAAAAGTGTAGCTGTAGGTGTGTCATCACCTGAAGCTTCGCTGGTGCTTTCACAGTCTGGGGTGCCAATCCGTCGTTCCGTCGAAAGATCAAATCGATCGCCAATGCTATTTGCCGAGGATATGGTCTGAGAAGTACCTGATGGGAACCCGATCCGATCATCAGCGGACTCCTTGGGAGGCGAGCCATAACTGGCATGGTTATCAATGGGTTCCGAAGAAGTGAATTCGGATTGTAGGTGGCAGGTGCATTCTTCTTCACTATCGGCCTCATCCTCTGCCCCACGGTCGATATGATCTATGTAACAACTGATTCCGCTTTGGTCGGCCGGAGTGGTTGAATCCGACCTTAGTTGGGACAGTACAGATTCAGGAAGTTTCCAGCCTTGGACTTGTAATCGGGCGCAGAGTGCTGCCTCAGGATTTGTAACGTAAATCTAAGGAAATAAGTTTGAAAAACTTGCAGTCCAGCTTCCTGCAGCTGCTGGTTGAAAATATTGCAAAGTATTATGATAATAAACAGTGAAGACTGTACGCCACTAAAAGCACCAGCATGGAAAACAGCCAAGTGGTCCATGTGAGACGCATGAGCCAGAAATTTGTAGTAGTTTGATCAGGGTTCTGAAGTGCCATTTTCAACCAAAACGCTGTTATAAGTTCAGAATAACAAGTCACAAGCCCGGGAAAATGGATGGCAGGTAGAATGAGTTCAAATAAGGCTAGCGATCAAAGCGGGACGGAGATCAAGGTAGGGGCGTTTTATTAGTGTAAATCAGTTCTTAGGCAAAGAGAAACACGAAACAGTGTCACATGGTGTTTTCCCAATAACCACGGTTAGCGGATAGTTGTCGTATAGCAGTGACTTATAAAGTGATCTCCGTAGTGAGAACAGAAAGAGAAGACGATGGCAGGAGAATCGCAAGAGCCCAATAAATGTCTACACATGGTTTAAGAAGAGAAAAGGTTGGTGCAGAGGAATCAAGATGTGAACGCGGTTATGCGATTTACACCGGTGTGATAGTTCCCAAGTTAACAGTTCAAGCGAAACGACAGCTCGCAGCCAATAAGAATGAGAAAGGCAGTAATATAAAGGACAATAGAAAAAAGCGCGAACAGCCAGTCCCCTGACCCCAGGTCGAACAGCTAAACCATATCTTGCTCTCCTTGATCGTCGTGCCGTTATCCGTGCACCGAGGTGCCGTCGCAGTTTAGCTCATATCTGGTGAAGATACCAAGTGAGCAATGAATGTGTTCGGCATCTTGTATATCGCGTAGGAAGAATAACCGAACCGCTAGCATCGTAATTTTACGCACCATCCTCCGATGGCCGGACCGTGTGTTACGCATGACAAGACACCGACTCACGAGGATTGTGTCATTTTGCGGGACCGTGGTTTGGATGAAAAAAGAGAGGAGGCAACCTAATGACTTTGTGCCTTCGCCTTTCCACCAGCTTAGCCTCATCTCCAACCACGCTCGTATCGCCGAAGCATTATGGGAATCAAATCATATTGGTTGTTTTGCCTCGTTTTTTGACTGTCTCGTCTTTTCTCTTGCGACGACGTGAGTGTACTACACTGCAGCAAAACAGCTGGGGTATTTCTCACCTCCAGTTAACATGTGAGTACTGACAATAAGGATGACCGATAAGCGGTGGATCCAGTGTCTTCACACGCGCAGCCAATGATATTATAAGTACGATTCAAGACGAATGTCAGCCGATAGACCGAAAAGATTGTCAATGATCCGGAAACCGCGCCACATCCAACTAAGTGCTCAGCCACTGGTGTGCACACTCCCGAGCACCCCAAAACTAGAACGACAAACATCAAACCGACCCAGAACTTCGGTAAGTTACCTACTGATCTTCTGCCATGTCACTGATTGACCATCTCGGGTTTTACCCAACTTGGTTCTGTAATTGTAAAAAAATACACACTGGGACAGTCGGCTGGAAAGGATGGGGAGAAGTTAACTGGGCCAATGAAGGTATGCACAGTACAACAGGCATTCCAATGGGGTAGCGGAGGCTCTGATTTCAACTATCAGTTGATGAGCTCTTGCACTACACACTCGGTTACTGTGGCAGAACTCAGTCATTCAGAGACAAGCGTCTATTCGGTAGTCCACTCAACGAAAATTACAGCATGTATGGCAGGTCAAACTCCTAGATATAAAGTGACCATTCAGTCCCACAACTAACGACCGTTACGAGCAGATAAAGTTCCTCTTTTGACGTAGCTAAATCAACAGTAAGGAACCCACAAGAAACTTTGGTTAATCCGTTGACTGACTAGCTCGCTTGTCTGATCTATCAGTACAAATTGATAGGATACTCCTATCACATCCTTCCTTTATTCGTGCCCTTGCGCCTCCATATTGCTAGGCACTCCGTAAACTTTGTCACTCCGCTTCGTCTCCGTTGTATCTGCCGCAGTGTTCTCCTTGTCCCCCGCTATAGGGCACCCCCATCTCAATCCACACTGTTGTCTCTGGTGTCGTCCAAAGAGCAGTTAATTTTTCCTGAGCGTCTTCCCTCGAACAATTATTTGGTATGACGTTCGCAACTAAAGCATCTTCCACCCACCGCTCTAGATGTCGGGTACTGGTTGAACCCATACTTCCTCCACCAATGTCAACTCAGGTAGTGCCGTGCACTGCGATCGTTACTGAGTATTAATTTGTCTTCTCAAACTTCTGTAGCCTCTCATGTGTCAAAACTGAGTGCAAAAATGTGGCGGACAACTACATCAGAGTTCGAGCCCTTCGGTTGTATAAGCGACACAATGGGCTAAGATCGATCACCGTTGAAGGAGTGTTGCGATTCTCCAGTGACATGAGGTAAGAGTATTCACCAGTACCTCTAGCTTATGATAACAGTCACTTGGCCTGCTTCACTGCCGACTCGGCCTTTGCATTCAATTGACTGTGATAAGGGCTGGTTTGCTGGTGCATAAATCCCCACTTGGTTTCGAAGGCCATCATCATTATACACGTTAGCTGCAGGTGGAAAACACCTCAGCTATTGTGCGGCAATAGTAAAGACAAGAAGAAAAAAGGTACAACAGTGGCACGCCGGCTGAGTAACCAGTAACAAATGGACATCGTTCCGGAGAGCTTACAGCTGGCAATTGTGCCGTAAAATGAGAGGTATATTATGACTAGCGAATGAGATCATGATTAGATAGGGAGGCTAAGCAGGAGGGGGTGGACAAAGGAACTCACAACACAAACGCCATTGGGGCCGGCTCCTAGCCATATCAGCAAGTGTATCCAGCCAAACGTGTTCACCGTCCTTAGGACCTCAATCAGGCAGTCAGAATGTATCAACCGACGCCAACTTCGAAGTGAGGGTTTTCATTTCTCTCGACCAAGTTATCGCTTGGCCTCCTCTCCTTCTCTTCCAACCGCACCCACAACGCGCAAACAATGCACGTCGCGGGAGTCGGTGTGTTGGCATGCGCAACACATGGCCGAACCATCGGAGCCTGGTGCGTGATATAATGGTGCTGAGCGGTTCACTCGCACCAAATACGCGACGCCCAACACGCTCACTGCTCACGCGGTGCTCCCACCAGACATGAGCTAAGCTGCGAAGGCAGCGATGATCGAACGTGACGAGCCCCTTTGTGTTTGTCGACCTGAAGGGTTAGGTCTAACAACCATATAGGAGATTTGAACGGACGGCTGCGTTATAAACTCTGCACTTCAGAGCGAGAGTAATGTCGCGTCTGCGCCACAGGTGATGGAAATTAACAAAAGCACCGAGAGCTTTCGCTATAAGGTTCGTGACCTCATGTTCAATTCCATAGGCGATAATATGGCTGTCCAGAAACTTGAATTCCTGAACGACTTCTAGCTGATCACCGCCAAGGGTCAGAGCAGGAGTGGCTCATGTCAATTTTAGAGGACTTCGCATTTCGATGGTGTAAAGCATAACCCGAAACGACTGACAGCCAAAGCCAATTTATCCAGTGCAGCTCCGCACGTTTGTGAGCTTTCACAGATGAGCGCAATGTCACGGCATACTCAAAGGCAAGAAGTCGGTCAACTGGGATGAGCAGCGCTCTATCGCAATTAGATATCAGTCACGGCGGTCCGCTGCCTTCACCAAGCGCTCAGTGGCATAGGTCACTGGTTCGTAAGCATGAAATCGTGGGTTCCGGAGGGCGCGCGCTATTGACAAGTCCAATAAGATGAAGTGGTCGTCTAGCAGTTTTTTGGATGTGTGGTGGCTGTCTGTGTGAGTTTAGCAGCGACGAAGCTTCACAGTAAACTTGTAGCTCTGTGGTAAAAAGCGAATTTGCAAGCACTGACTTTGAGCATCATAGCGCCTCGCGTTAGCTAGATGGCGATGGACTGAAAGAGCTTAAGTAGTTGTAAGCTTCAGAGCCCGTTGCCGTGCATGACTGCTACCGTTTGAAAATACGTGCACTAACGTTCACCATGATGCAATCGCTGCCGATAATCCAAAACCTACGCCAAAAGTGGGGAAAACAATCCACAACTTACCGGAGCCCCACAGGGAAGATAACTGCACCGTCTCATGGAAGTGAATTTGCGCACAACTAGATGAGCCATCATGTGCGAAGTAAAACGGAGCCCATGCGCCGAGAAAGGAAAATGCTTGACTGATAGCACTCAAGAATTAGTAGTACGAACGGTTTCTCCAGCCAACCTACATAACTGATGTCAGAAATCTATCAATTATATGATGAGCCGCTAAATCTCAAGACGACCATGTCGTGAAAATCTAAAATAATAGTGTGAAAAGAAGGAATTAAAGGAGAAGACTGAGACATCCTTAATTCGTAAACCGGAGGAACAATCGATGGTAGCGAAAAAGTGAATGTGTAGATATTTGTACGTTTTCAAGTACGTCAAAGTGTATTGGGTTTTCAAACCATTAGTGAGGCAGAGCCTAGTTTCGTTGCACAAGCGAGTGAAGCGGAGGCGATCCATTTCAGAGGGTAGTCAACACAGGAAAAGGATAGAGTGGTGTTTGAAACGCAGCTTCATAGATAAATCCATGCAATTACTTAGAGTGGATGCCTGCCCTTTAGTTTAGCCTCAGAATGCTACTCAGAATCACAAATGCGGTATATTGAGAAGATAATGCAGTATAGATAATGTCCAGGTGGAGATGGCGTCATCACAGTGAATGACTACGCTACAAGTAATCTGCATTGAACAGTTGGAAAATGATAAGATTACGGATATAGACAAAAAGTATATAGGAAAAAAACGGATATTATGAAAAACCGTAGAAAACTAACCTGGGCTCTGCTGAAACTGGGAAGATAAAGAAACGTGCATTGAGGATCGTAGGATCTAAATAAATCCTCAAAGGCTTGCTACAAAATGTTTTTTTGTGTGTGGACTAATTCGCCTTACTTGTGCAGGCTGCTGCGTAAATACTGCGCGAGGAACATTTGCTACAATAAGCTTCAATGAATAATCGCGAAGCACATTTAGAACATCTTGAATCTCCTCAACAGAGAAAACAGAGCCATCGAGAGCCAATCGATCGAGGAGGTACTGAATGTTTTCGTCTGCTTCATTCATGGTTCGAGGAGGTGAGGTACCCGCCAGATATGTAGGAGCCTAAAACCACAGCAAATAAAGGTTTAAACAGAGAAGAAAAACACTAGTTAAACTAGAGGAGTATAGGAAATAGGTAAAAAAGGATTGGTGAAAAGTTGACATGTTACACACAAACAGCGGCAACCCGAATAACAAGTGACAGCAATAAAGAGCACAATGTAGAACAATGAACAATGATTTATGACAGGTAAAAAAGCAGATGCTTGACATGTCCCGTAGGGTGGATAGCGTGACAAAAAAGATAGCGAAGGGATAATGTTGTCAGTTCGGGCGCTTACAGATGTAACTGCATTTCGTATAAAGGGGGTTCGAAACGAGAATGTACGCACACAAAGCAACAGGAGAGTGGTTATTGTTCACATCATAGGCGAGAAAAATTAAAAAAAACGATAACAAGGACAACGCTTACTTGTGTGCGATTATCGTCGGTCGACAGGATACAGAAATCCAGTGTCTACAGTAGTAGCGTTTATCAAATTTCGTGCAAGGCGTTTGGAGTGACTCGCTCTCGAGTAGGGTTATGGCACTATCCACTGTCTGTTGTGCAATAGTGCCAGCATCTGGTGGTCATGAGCTATAGCACGTAGTGTAAATGTGACAGGGTATCGTCAAGGCGTTTTGAAAAGGGATAGGGTGGGTGCATTAATTACATGTTCCGGGAGGGCGTTCCAAGGCTGTGCCACTCGAAGGGAGAAATAGTTTCGCCGACATTCCAGGCGGCTGTACTGCGTGATTAACTTAAACTGGTGACCTCTTAGCGAGGTGTTTTGACTGAGTATTAGAAGGGAATGGCATGGGTGGTTGGGGTCTCTCAGAATTAGGTACACCATTATGAGATCGCCCCTTAGACGCCGATAACGTCCACTGTAGATTTTAAGGGTCTTCAGCCTGAGTGGGTAGGGGAGGCTGTTCAAACCTCTGACGCTCTTCGTTGCCCTACGTTGTGCAGTATCGAGCGCGGTGAGATGGTGCTTGAGCCAGGGTTGCCACGCTTGGATATCCTAATCCGCGTGCGGCCTCACGTATGCGCTAAGCATTTTTGGAAAGACCAAAGGGTCAAACTTCCAGAAGGCTCTGCGAAGAAGGCCGAGGTACTGGTTAGCTTTCTTAGCTGCCTTTTCAGTCTGCCTCGAACAACCGAGGTCATCTTGAACTATCACGCCGAGATCGCACTCGTGAGAAGCCCGCTGCAGAATTTGTGATCCTAGGCGGTAGCAGTGCAAACTCTTGTGCCGTATACTGAGAACCTTGCACTTGGAGACGTTGAAATGCAGCATGTTCTCGATGGACCATGTGTGCGCTTTGTCCAGGTCCTCTTGTAACACTGTGTGATCCTCCACTGCAGCTATAGTGCGCCATACCTTTAGGTCATCAGCAAATAGCAAGCAGTTAGAAGACAGCACACTCGCGAGATCATTTATGAAGACCAGGAACAGGCGGGGTCCAAGTACCGAGCCCTCAGGTACGCCGCATTGAACTTCGATGGATTCTGATAGGTTGCTTCGAACCCTTACATTCAGTTGACGTTGAACGAGAAAGTCTCCTATCCAGCCCAGAACAGGATCGCCGATTCCATATCTCTGGAGTTTGTGGAGGAGAATGCGATGGTCTATGCGGTCGAATGCGTGATGATTCCGTGCTTCCACATCGTGGGGACGTGCATCTCGTTCAGACATCGTTGAAAGAAAATTGCTAGTGGTCCTGACAAGCTCATGGCAGCAACCTTCAAGGCCTTCGGTCGAATGCCGTCCGCACCCGGGGAGCTGAACTCGCGCAGGGACATCAGCCTCTTCAGTACAGCTGCGGAGGTAAACGATATGTGGTTTAGCCCTGATGGCGGCGTTATCTGCTTAGGCAGGATGTACGGTGATTGCTCCCTTTGGAAGGTACGGCCAAATTGTTGTCCAAGGACGTTGGCTGCCTCTTGTGCGGTTTGGGCTAAGCCGCATGCTGTGTGCAGGGCAGGAATACCGCGCTTAACACGGCGCAAATTGTTTACGTGTCTGTATAGCAGTTTGGGATTGGAGCTAAACTTTTCCGCTAGACTTTGTTGGTTCTTAAGTTTATCCTCTCGAACGAGTTTGACACAGTGGTTCCTGTGTATTGTGTAGACATCCCAGGTATGATCGTTCGGGGAGGCTATATAGGTGTGCCATGCCAAGTCCCTTAATGACATGCACTTACGTGTCCTGCTCCTTACGAAAGACTTCATCCTTTTGGTCCGGTAGCGTTTGGTTTCAGATGTCCGTGCCACGAGCTTGGTGAATATGTTGACGAATTCACCGCAGGCCACCTCAGGCGTTAATTCAGCTAAGAACGACCAGCTGGTTGCATCAATTAGGTCGGACAGGTCTTTATAGTTGGTTACGACACGATATTCCTCCGCATGCTCTTTAGGATAATCCGCGTAGCACATGTAATGAAACAATAGCGTCGCATGATCACTGCGGCCCAAAGGAGTATCGGTTATCACTCTCTCAACCATTAATTCTTCGTTGGTGAATATTCGGTCCAAAATGGATGGCCTGTCAGTACCCCTGAATCTGGTGGGCGTAGTGATGTGGCCATAAAGAGAAAGCAAGTGAAACTGTCGAACTGCCCAGACTCAGCTGCACAGGTTTGCACAAATAAAAGGCGTTAGGAACACAATAATGAACGTAGTGTGCAATAAAGTTCGACTCAAGATGTAAGAGCAAATAAGGTGCAAAAAATAAAGTACTCAACCAAACTATGAAAATGGATGCTAGCGAGGTGACACACTTGAACGCCGTGATTAAACGAACTGTATCGGTTGACTCAAACAAGACTGGTAAGTGTCCACATCAAGACGTCAGTGGTCTTCTTGTTGCGGTACATGACCGTTGAGCGACTAGTTTTTCGAGACCTTTTTAAGAGGAGCAAAACAATGCGCAATACTTTTTCGTTGGCGCAGCTTTCATCACATTAAAAAAGTTTACTTTTCGCGTCCTGTTGATGTATTCCATGGGAGACACTATTATTGACCGTTCCCATTTTCTTTTCAGTCGGTACACTTTTGAACTACCCAATCTGTACTTCGTGAAGCTGGGCGGCTGTCTGTTGTCAGTTTATTTTCCTAGATGAAATATCATACTTGGAACTCCGATATTTTCCTTTGGGCGGTTGGAGATAGTGCAAAGTGTGTGAACCGAGCGATCCTCCGTGGCGATTTCCAATCCGCAACACTTCACCCCTCAAAACGCGGTGAACTGTGGCCGAAAGGACTGCATGATTGTGTTGTAATCCAAAGGCCACTGGTTCGAATCCGGGTAGGTGAGAGCGATCTCCAGGTACACCCAACGCACGCGAAACGGGAGGCCGATGCGTGAATCAATCGTCAAACAATTGCTTGATGCTCTGGCGACCGCAGAAGATAATCAACGGTGCCCTATCTGCTGCATCGAGCAGGGTGGATAGGGAGTTGGATGCTACTACTCAAGCCTTCCCGTCTTCTTATTCCTCCTCTTACGCTTTTTCACTCTTACCGTCCCCTTCCAACTTCACTTATATCCCCCCAGTTTTCAACCCCCCAATTCTTGGCCCTCTCCCACCTTGCTTTGCTAGACAGCTATATTCTAATTTAAACTCACATGCTAACGCGGAGCGTCACTCCTCTCCTGGCAACAAGCCCATGTCTAACCAAGCGGTCCATTCCAATTCATCGGCTTCCATTTGGAGCCCTCGATCCTCCTTCAGATTGGCATGCCTCAATGTACGCACATTGCTAAAAATTGGTCAACAGGCAGCACTTGCCCGAACATTGGAGACCCTCTCGATCGATCTGTTGCTTATCCGAGACTCCCCTGCAAGACTCGAGCTCTGTGCTCACTCTGCGATCCTCTTCAGGGGACGCAAGCAGCATTTTCTCAGTGCGCTTATCCGGTGACGATGCAGCTTCGAGCACCGGCCAAGCTGGTGTTGGCATTGCCCTGAGTCCCCGGGCTGAAGCTGCTCTGGTTGATTGGATTCCAATCAGTAGTCGATTGTGTGCGATCCGATTGGCTGGCTCGTTCAAAGCTCCGAAGTCGCACGCGACTAACAGGTGTCTATACACCATCGCTGCCTACGCGCCCACAAACTGCAGCGATGATTCGGTAAAGAACGACTTCTACCGCCAACTGACTCAGCTCCTTCGCTACAGAAGAAGCACGGACACTGTTGTTCTGGAGAGGGATTTGAACGTACAAGATAGAAAGCTGTCCACTGATGAAATGCATCTGGGCGGTCAGCATGGTGTAGGCTCCCGTAATGATAACGGTGAGCGGTTACTTCAGTTGTGTGAAGATGCCCGCTTATTCCTTGTGAGCACTAACTTCCGACACAGCACCCACCGGAGGGTGACTTGGCGCCCACCAGCCTCGAACCAGCCTTGGACGCAGATCGATCACATTGCTATTAGTCACCGCTGGAGAGGCTGCATCTAGAACTGTCACTCAATTTGGAGCACATGTGTGGATACCGATCATGCACTTGTATGTGCTGAATTGTGGATGTGCTTTGGCGGACGCCCACGACGATGCTGTGAGTGCATTGACACCAGCCAACTGACAAAGCCAGCTGTTCTGAATGCGTATCGAAGTACGCTGACATGCGAGTGGAGTAAGCGCTAACTGGAGACAACTGATGGTCACTGATCACATGTTCGCCAGACCTTACCAGCAGCAGGCAAATCCTCATGCGGTATGTCAAATAACCAACATGGATATTGGGTCTCTTCTCGGTCTCTGGAACTTATCGACGCTCGCGGGCATATCCCGGCTGGAAGCGAACACAATGAAACTAGCAAACAGCTCCGGGCAAAACTCCGTGCTAGCCTGAAGAGAGACCGTGAGTCTTGGTGGTCTCATCGTGCGTCAGAGATGGAAGTGGCCGCTGCCCTTGACAACCACCGTCTGATACGGGAAACGGGCAGCAGCAGACCTGGTGTTAGTGAAACTATACGTGACGAGAGTGGACAGCCTATCCACAATTTGTCAACACGT